GGTGCGGACGAAAGAAATGAATGAACTGGCAAATTATTATTATCTTATAATTATAATAATCTCTGTATTCATTCCTTCATTCACATTTTCTTAGCACTTAAAACTCGTTATTATTAGATTATATATATTATATACATATATGGGGTAAAATTCCTGTAGCGAACTAAGTGAAAAAAAAGTTGATCGGATCGGTCTGTAACTTGCACATAGTTTAGCCCTAGGGGTGCCCAGGTGCGAATTTTCCGTCGGCCCATGGTTGGGCCAACTTTGCAAAAGTTGGGACAACTTCACCTGCCAAAGGGTGGGCCAACTAGCGAAATTATAACGGTTTACCACCCATTGGCATCGATGGTCGGGCCAACAACTCGTCCCAAGGTTGGTCCAACTCTAAAAGTGTATGTTGTACCAACTATAATTCTCATTGGTTGGCCCGACAATTTGTCCCAAAGTTGGTCCGACAACTTGTCCCAGAGTCGAACCAACTTTAAATGAGTATGTACCAAAAATATAAATAATTAAAAACATGAATTAATTATACAATTAGCACACTGGTAAGTTCTGAAGAATTTTACATATGTCCTTACTTATTAATATTAAACGCAATCTCCTAATACATTTTTGAAAATATCTAACGCTCGCTGGGATCGAACCCCTAACCTAACGCATCGCAGTCTTATACGCTAACCATTACGCTACGCTTACATGGGATTATTTTTCAGAAATGTATTTGAAAGCTGACTGAAGAAAATAATAGCTTAGGCAGCATTAGAAGAATAAAGAAACAATAATGATGCGGCACGACATACATATTTTAATAAAAAATATATTTAACAAAATTGATAAACGTTATTAAAAAATGAAATATTTTAAAACTAATGAAATGAGGATTATTCTGAATTTATTAATTAAAAGCTTATCAAATTCTGCATTTAACATGCCTATTATATGAAGTACTTTGAATTAACGAATTGTTAACAAATAATTAATAAAAACAATTTGGCCAACCATAGCGTTTAGGTCTTTTAAACTACGTTTGCCGAAGTTTTGCCGACGGTTGGCCCAACTCTGGTTTAAGTTGGGCCAACGGTTGGCTTTACTCAGCATGCCATAGTTGGCATGCAAAGTTGGCCCGACCTTGATTACTTGTAAATACCCAGGTTGGACCAACTTTGGTTACCAAGCTTCGCTTGCCAAAGTTAGGCCAACCTAGGCCCAACCATCCAACTCTGGCAGCCAGCCTAAATTCGCACCTGGGTAGCTGGACAAACTTTCCGACCATCGGGCCAATCTACACCCAAAGTTTGGCCAACCAAACTTTTTGAGTCTTTTAAAGTATGTCTCCCGTAGTTTTGCCGACGGTTAGTCCAACCTTCACCCAGAGTTTGACCAACCATAGCGTTTAAGTCTTTTAAACTACATTTGCCGAACTTTTGACGATGGTCGGGCCAACCTTCACCCAGTGTTTGGCCAACCATAGCGTTTAAGTCTTTTAAACTACATTTGCCGAAGTTTTGACGACGGTCGGGCCAACCATCACCCAGAGTTTGGCCAACCATAACGTTTAAGTCTTTTAAACTACGTTTGCCGAAGTTTTGACGACGGTTGGGCCAACCATCACCCAGAGTTTGGCCAACTATAGCGTTTGTCTTTTAAACTACGTTTGCCGAAGTTTTGACGACGGTCGGGCCAACCTTCACCCAGAGTTTGTCCAACCGAAGCATTTAAGTCTTTTAAACCAAGTTTCCCGAAGTTTTGCCGACGGTTGGCCCAACTCTGGTTTCAGTTGGGCCAACGGTTGGCTTTACTCAGCATGCCATAGTTGGCATGCAAAGTTGGCCCGACCTTGGTTACTTGTAAAGGTTGGAGGTTGGACCAGGTTGGACCAACTTTGGTTACCAAACTTCGCTTGCCAAAGTTAGGCCAACCTAGGCCCAACCATCCAACTCTGGCAGCCAGCCTAAATTCGCACCTGGGTGAGTAATTTAACCCCGAAGTATTGTTCGGTTTTTTCAAAAACTGTAGAAGAGGGAGGGAGTTGAATTTTTTTGAAAAATTTAAACAGTGAATTTTTGAAGACTTGTAACTTTTAAACAGAACGAAGAAGAAAAATTTGTCCCATATGTTTTCGAAAGGTTTTTTTTTGCTCTTTCGAATGGTGCAAAACTTTTTCTAAAAAATTCAAATTTTAACCCTTTTTTTGAAATTAAACATTTTTTCAAATTTTTTTTTAAGTTAGGTCCTTTTTATTTTTTTTATTTATTTTTTTTAAAAGCTAAAAATGTGTTTTTTCACCACAAAAAATATTGAGTTGTCCTTTTTTGTTATTTTCGAGATATTAATCAATTATACTTTTAGTAAAAAATGTGTACAAGATAAAATGTGAGCTTTTTTGAGACCTACAAGTTTCGTCTAAAACATTTTTCTAAATTTTGCTTTTTTTACGAGATAATCAGAAAAAGCCATGACTATATGATGATTTTTATGGTTTTGGGTGAAGTTCCAAAAGCGTCTCACCTCCGATCTTAATGAAACTTGGTATACTAACGTATTTTTGTACCCTGATTACGAAAATGATTGTGAAAATTGGCGCAAATGTGATTATCATGGTAAAAACAATAAAAAACACCATAAAATCATGTTTTTTTGCGATTGTCTCACAGTAAACTTGGTTGTCTCTTTTTCTATTGCAACGTTTTGATCCACATAAGTTATATCAAAAAGAGATCATTTTGTGTATCATTTTTAGAAATGATACACGAAACGGTCTCATTTTTTGATGCAAAAAATTTAATCAATTTATATCAATCATGGCCGAATTGAATCGACTCAAAATTAAACGAATTTTTTTCAGATATTTTGGTAATAGTACAATTGCGGAGACCATTGCACTATTTAATTTGAAAATGAAAATAACAGAAAATCAAAGACAATGTGCAATTCGATAATTAAAAAGTGACAGCTTATAAACATAACCTAAAATGCATGGGAAAAAATTTGTCGATAAAATCAATATAGCCGAGCTTTTTAGAAGGTAGATGGCAGCACTCATCTATTTTCTTTCTTTAAATTTTTTCTGAATCCTTTTTAAAAAAAGCAAAACTGCCATCTACCTTCTAAAAAGCTCGGCTATATTGATTTTATCGACAAATTTTTTCCCATGCATTTTAGGTTATGTTTATAAGCTGTCACTTTTTAATTATCGAATTGCACATTGTCTTTGATTTTCTGTTATTTTCATTTTCAAATTAAATAGTGAAATGGTCTCCGCAATTGTACTATTACCAAAATATCTGAAAAAAATTCGTTTAATTTTGAGTCGATTCAATTCGGCCATGATTGACATAAATTGATTAAATTTTTTGCATCAAAAAATGAGACCGTTTCGTGTATCATTTCTAAAAATGATACACAAAACGATCTCTTTTTGATATAACTTATGTGCATCAAAACGTTGCAAAGATTTGATGCAATTTTTGGTCTCAATTTGAGACTTTTAGGAAAACTGTGCTCTTAAAAATCGCAAAATTTCAAAAAATGTTTTAAATAAAAGTTGTAGGTCTAAAAAAACACACATTTTATGATTTATGCATTTTTTACCAAAAGTCGTTATTTTTCGAGAAAGTTCCGAAAAACCATAAAACATCATGAAAATGACGGAAAAAAGACTCAAAAAACAGTGCACATTATAAATAGAGGAAAATTTAGTACTTTTAAGTATATTATCGTATTTTTGTGCCCTGATTACGAAAATGATAGTGAAAATTGGCGTAAAATTGATTATCATAGTGAAAAACATAAAAAACACCATACAATCATGGTTTTTTGCGATTATTTCGTGAAAAACGCAAAAATTTTCGAAAAATGTTTCAAATAAAAGTTGTAGGTCTCAAAAAAACACACATTTTATAATTTATGCATTTTTTACCTAAAGTCGTAATTTTTCTAGAAAATTCCAAAAAAACATAAAACATCATGAAAACTGACGGAAAAAACAGTGCACATCATAACTAGAGGAAAAATTAAGACTTGTAAGTAAATAACCGCGTCATCAAATTGCGTAAACTGCTACTGTTGATCCCACCAACTTTGTCCGCACAATACTTTCGCCCATATCCACCCCCCCCCCACGCCAAGGTGTCTTTAAAATACGTAAAGAAAAGAACTTTACGCGGCCGAAGCCCGCGTCATTAAATTACGTTAACTGCTACTGTGGATCCCACCGACTTTGTCCATAGAATACATTCGGACATATCCACCCCACCCTTGCCAAGGTGTCTTTAAAATATGCAAGAACAGTACTTTACCGGGCCGAAGACCGCGTACTTCGTTTTCTGTGGACTGCAGCTTATGATCCCATCTGACTTTTTTTTACATTTACTTTCATTGACATTCATTATTTGTATATGGTACACTTAATGTAAATACATATACATATACGCGGTCCCCTTTAGTATTATAACATATCTTATTAGCCATAGTCATTTCTATGTATGTTTGACACTTTTTATAAAAAATGCATAAAACATAAAATGTGTGTTTTTTTTAGACCTACAACTTTTATTTGAAACATTTTTCGAAATTTTGCGATTTTTACGAGATAATTGCAAAAAACCATGATTTTGTGGTGTTTTTTATGGATTTTACCATGATAATCTCATTTGCGCCAATTTTCACTATCATTTTCGTAATCAGGGCACAAAAATACGCTAGTATACCAAGTTTCATTAAGATCGGAGGTGAGATGTTTTCGTAACCTATATATATCCATGGTTTTTACCATGATAATCAAATTTGATCATGAGGCTTTATGTCACAACTGTTCCAATTGTTTCACGAATTATCGGCCAGGAGTAAGTTGGTTCCTAAAATCTGTCGCTGGCTCCCGGACTATAATATGAATCCAAAGAAAAAGAAAAGTTATTTTTTGTCGAGTTAAATAATTAAATTTTTTTAAGTTTTTAGACATATTTATAACGTTTTTTTAATTTCTTCTGTTATAGCTTAAACAGTTTTTCGTAGAGCATCTTCATACCGATGAGGAAATTCGTCTGGTTTTAAGCGGATCAGGATATTTTGATGTTAGAGACAAGGACGACCAATGGATTCGAATTGAAGTGAAAGAAGGAGATTTAATTATAATCCCAAGTGGTATATATCACAGATTCACATTGGATATGAATGTAAGGCTTTCTGAAAAGGAATGTTTTTACTTTATGTAGGTTAAAATTCCTGTCCCTTGATTAAAAATAGAATTACAAACATAATTTTGCTAAAAGTTTGAGTTTTATGAAATTTCGATATATGTAAACGTTCACATGAAAAGGACCACTTCGGTACTATTTGACTTATCTGCATGAGTGTATGCTTGATTAAATATTTTGAAAAATTTGAGCGTTTTTCCCGAAAAATGTAATTTCAATTTTTACAATTTTTTATAGATTTGTTAATGTAGTGAAAACAGAAAATATAATATTCTTTATTAACATTATTAATTTTAAATTGCAAAACAAACATTTTTTAATCTAAATTAACATATTAAATATAAATATGGAGTTTGAGTCCGGGCTTGGCTAACGAGAAATACTACTCACGGAATAATTTATATTTTATTTTCAAATTTAAGTTTCGGCGAAATCCTTGAAAATTTATTTTAAACGGGGCAATTAAATTACCACGTTACAACGTTTACACTTACTTCATTTATTTTTCCGAAGGTTGTTTATGTTTGTACTTGAGCCAATGGCCAAGAAGCTTCATCAGTGTGAGGATTAACCGTTAAATGAGTTTACTGTTATTAAATATAATTAAATCAAATATTTGTATATAAAATTATAAGTGAATCAACATTCTGGTAAGTAAAATATATATACAAATTATTTTATATAATAAATTTCGTATATGAGAATAAATGGAATAAATGCACGTATATTTCAAAAAATGTATAGGTTATGTTGATGAGTTCAAAATTTAATTCTTTAAAAAAAGGTTTCTTTTATCGGTATATTTCACAAAAATTTTGAAAATCAAATACGAATCAAAATTTACAAGAGTTTAAATGTTTAAGGTAAAAATTTTTTTATTTTTCTCCCAGAAATCCAATTTACTTGAAAATGTTTATTTGCAGTTTTTGGGGTCGCTGATTACGAATCTAAAATCCGTTTTAAAAAATTCAAAATGGAGGATCCAATATATCCAATAAAGGCTAGATGTAATGCCGAATATTGAAAATAACTGAAAAAATAGAGAAGTAGCAGTGTTGAAAGTTACATCAACAAACCAAACATTACACATAAACAGCTGCGTCAAATTCACTGAAGAAGAAAAAATTAGAATTCTCCCGGAATCTTCACCTTCCTCTTCATTGTCGTGATAAGAATCGTATAAAAGAAAATTATTTCCACCGAGAGTTTGCTTGTATTGTTCCGGAATTTCTTCTAAATCAGTGATTCAAATAGGGTTGCCTTAAATATTTTTGCATAATGTTTGGCACATCTTTCCGCAGTTACTAAACTAGGATGAACTGAATCGGTAACCTGATAGATTTAAGTACGTAAAAACGTAGTTTTTCAAATTTTTGGTTCAAAAGTCCGCCATTTTTTTATTTTTTGGTTGAGAAAGTCACCACATATGACTATTGATTCAAAATGGCGGAATTGCAAAATAATCCGATTTATGATCAGATTTTTGTTATCCGGAATATTATTTATACGATTCCGGAGTTAGTCCAATTGTATGCAATTAAAGATTAAGAAATTTGTCTGGTCAGGGACGGAAATAATTTGTTTTTTACTACAAAGTCCGCAATTATTCCGAAATACTCCGAATTATGGTCAAGTTCAGGTCATCTGGAATAATTTCAACTATGTTTGAAAGCAATGCGGTTTAAGTATAAAGATGTGAATCCAGAATTAGTACGAGCTAATCCCGAGTTAGTCAGGTTGCATGAAACTATTGAATAAGAGATTAGTCTGGTCAAGTACGAAAATAATCGTATTTTATACTTTCAAATCCAGAATTATTGCAAAATAATCTCATTTATAATCAAGTTTATGTTATCCGGAATAAGTCCGGTTAAAGCTTAAATCAATATGGTTTTAGAATAAGTTGCGAATTTACTGATTTCCGATTGTTAAAGACGGAAGTTAATTAACAAAAATAAAATAAATTATTTAAAGAGAAAATAATAAAGTTAGAAATAATACTAATTTTTATTATTAACAATTCCGCTTATTTGGAAAGCGTAAATTGCTCTTTGCTAACAAAGTTAGATTAAGGTAGTGGACTGTCGCTTAGAATATTATACATTCAATAAACCCGGATAGACGGTATTTTAGTGAAAATGATCCAAAAGCGAGATATAATATAGACATCAAAAAAGGTGGTTGAGTAAATAGAAACGTAATTATCACAACAAAAGAAATCTGTTTATTCATTCAACCCCCAAAGATATTACATTCAATTTCTCAATTGATCCATAATAAAAATGATTACAATAAAAAAAACAGCTACTACTTTAAGCTACTTGAATTAGAAATTCAAGTCTCACAAAAAATCATTTATTGCAAGTACAATAAAGAGATCAATAATAAAAGAAAGATTTTAACAACAAGAAAATAATTCGTGCATTTGAAATAAGTGTGATAGTGTTTGTTTTATGAGATTCTGTAATTTTCAAATAGTGAATATAAATTCAGAGCAACTCACCTGAATAATAATAATTAAAATGATACAGAAAAGTATCAAATTACTTTCCTAACTTTTATGGAGTTTAAAACTCTTATTTGTTATACGACTCTGAGGTATGCGGAAGTCGTTCTTTTTACCTTCCTTTTATTTTATATATTTTCTTTTGACAAACTTGTATTATTTATTGTCCTTGAACAATTATTTCAATATTTCAAATTCTGTTTATTAAAAATTCAGAATATTGGGTTCACCAAACCTGAATTTTCAAACAGTTAATTTTGAGATATAAACAATTGTTGTAATAATAAATACTTTCAAAAATAGGAAAGGATTCTGCACTTTAACATTTATAACACTTTGTACTTGATTCAACGAACTTTTTATATGATAGTCGACTTCACAAATTGTGGAATATACACTTTATAATTTTAGATAATTTGACAATTTCAACCCTTACTGCGGGGAATAGACAATAATCTCAACCACTCTCAGTGGGAATAAAACTTTAAAATCATCCGTCTTTTTGCGGAAAATACATCCGCTCTGCGGGAAAAACAAATTAAGACTCCTTGAAGAATAATTCGGTGGCAACGATCACACCCTGTTTGTATGTTATGTTAAGTAGTAGGAGGGTTGGTTTTTCAATCAACACCTCGTTGTTTCCATGCAAGTTTTAGCAAACTTGCATTTTATTAGTGGCGTGATCGATTCAACCACCTGAGTTGCCTTTGTAATTTATATATGAGGCAAAATTCCTGAAATGTCCGAACAAAAAATTAAAAGTTCTCGAATTTAATCCATACTCTTCTAAAATGTTGTTATTGTTGGTGAAAGTCTAAAAATCAATTATTATTGAATTTAATAAAATAGTTTTTGAATTACAACGTTTTTAATTTTTGACTTTTGAAAAAAAAAATTTTTTTCAATGTACAATATTTATAAGTAGAATGCATAAAAGTTAACATATATATAATGATTTTTAAAGCTTTTTTGACGAGCTACACGCTGTTAATAAAAAATTTTTTTTTAAATAACATTTGACCTTGAAATTCAAGGTCAAAATGTTAATTTACGTTTATCTCAAAATCGGATTTTTTAAAATTATTTTTAACTATCTCAATGGAAAGCTTGACTAATTTCCTACAAAACATGTAATTTTCAGAGTGGGATCTTTTAAAGTTTTTGAGATATTAATTAATTAATTAATTAATGTTTATAACAAATGAAATATATTACAAACGAATAAAGTTACCTTAATTCTGAAGTTAGTAATTGAAAGTTAACGTAATTCCGCATCCAACGAGCCCTATATGAAGTATTTTGGATAAGTAGATTGTTAATAAACAATTAGTTAACATTGCAATTGTTTATTAACAATCTACTTATCCAAAATACTTCATATAGGGCTCGTTGGATGTGGAATTACCTTAACTTTCAATTGGTAAGTTCAGAATTACCATAACTTTATTTGTTTGTAAAATATTTTATTTTTTACTAACAACAAGCATCCAAAAGCCCTATATGAAGTATTTTTGTTCAATTTTAGTTAAATAACAATAAAAAATGAAATATCTTACAAACAAATAAAGTTATCATAAATCTAAACTAACCAATTGAAAGTTAAGCTAATTCCGCATCCAACGAGCCCTATATGAAGTATTTTGGATAAGTAGATTGGTTATAAACAATTGCAATGTTAACTAATTGTTTATTAACAATCTACTTATCCAAAATACTTCATATAGGGCTCGTTGGATGCGGAATTACGTTAACTTTCAATTACTAACTTCAGAATTACGGTAACTTTATTCGTTTGTAATATATTTCATTTGTTATAAACATTAATTAATTAATTAATTAATATCTCAAAAACTTTAAAAGATCCCACTCTGAAAATTACATGTTTTGTAGGAAATTAGTCAAGCTTTCCATTGAGATAGTTAAAAATAATTTTAAAAAATCCGATTTTTAAATAAACGTAAATTAACTAATAACTAATTGTTGATAACTAATTGTAATTCTATTGAGCACCTATTTTTAAAAATTAGCAGTTTTTCTCTTATTATTGGTACGGTCTACATACCCCCATGTGCAACGCTCGAGATTTATAATTGTTTGTGTCGTACTATTGAGGATACACTTGTGCCATTACAAAACTGCTCGCTCTGTCTGGTCGGCGATTTCAATATGCCATTTGCAAGGTGGAATTATAATAATAAAAATGAACCTTCATGTGCAATTAAACCTAATTTTCCCTTGAGGATGCATAATGATATAATTAATAATATTTCTGACACTTTAGATTTTTTGAACTTATCGCAGTATAATAATTTTCCTAATAAAGTCGGCTCAATTTTAGATTTAGTTCTTTGTAATTTTTCAAATTTAAATTTAGATTTATGCCTCGATCCACTGCTTCCTGTTGATGAATTTCACCCTACTTTAAAATTAACTTTAAATGTGAATGACTCTGTGACACCTAATAATAAATGTA